AATGCAGCTGTTTTAGGATGACTTTTGCTGCTGCTTTTAACTGTCTTTCCACCTCGCTTATCCCCTGCCACGACGCTGCTTTAAGTGATTTGTGGTAGGGTATCTCTCGCTTACATTGCACGGCGCTTTAACCCTTGTCCTTGCTGGAAGGGTCACTGCAACCCGCCTACTGTCACGGTCAAGTGCTCAAGCAGGGGGTTGGTATAGGGTGGATGAGGCATGAGGTTGGAGGAGAGACTAAGCTACCGAGCTGTCTACTGACAGTGCTGGGTTTTCTATCAGCTATCGCAAAGACCCATGCATAGTGACATGATTGCTGAAACAGTCGGGTCATGTGTTGTAGACATTCACTCCCACAATCTGATGGTGTATCAGCTGTCACGCCTACTGATAATGGCACAGGCTTTGGTACTATCCACCGGCCAGCGCATATTTAAGGAGCGGCCTGCTCACTCTCTGCCTCTCAGTTCCTAGCCCTCTCACAGACTTCATCCTGTCTATCCCACGCGTACACACTCGAGCTCTCACACTTCAAACCTGTCTCCTGAGTCAGTTAGACATATGCATCCAAGCAGGCAGCGACGCAACAATGAGGGTACAGCTACCCGAACAGCTGTTCCTATAAACAAGATAAGGAAGCGGAGGTCCTCTTGTACCATTACGACGTCAAAGGTCGCCCTTAATCGAGAAATCGACACGTACGCCGCAAGTCCCTCCACAGATTCTCATTCGAGTTTTGAGGTGGACTCTGACTCTTGCTCAGATCCTGACTCAGATTCCGACGATTCAGGTTCACAGTCCGATTCATACTCAGATACTGACACAGACCCTAACATCCAAGATGCAGAGCAAGCATATAGTGGAGATTTCGAGCTTGATTCGGAGCAAGGGTCGGACGAGGGATCAGACTCCGAAGCGGAAAGGATAGTGCGGAATATTGAATACCACAGAACGCAGGGTCCAGCGAAACCTCGACACGAACCTCGAACGATAGAACTCTGGAAGAGGGAAAGCGATTTCTGGCAGAGGTGAGACCATAGAGCTATCACCTATTCCTCTAGTCGTCACTTAACAGCTGCGTCATAGGTACTGCTCCAAGATCCAGCGAAAGACAAACATGTCCCCAGAGGAGCAGCTACGGGCATGCGACCCAGCAGTGTTCAAATCATACCTCTGGTGGCGGAAGAAACATTCTCGAATCAACAAAGAGAGCACAATGAAGTCGTACTGGAAACGAATCAGCATGTACTACCGCGACCTCACAGACCATGAAATGGACAACGATGTCCTAAGTGATATCTGTAACGTACGATTCCTCCGGCCCGTTGTACTCCCACCTGACGCTCCATTGACGGCTATACTAGTGGATGCCCAACCTCCACTTAGATAAGTCGAAGAAAGAAAAGTTTGCAATGTTCGTCCAGGACCTCTATGCCATCCTACATGCCCTTTGGGTTGACGATACTAAAGCCCTCCCTGGATTTATCCGAGACCAGCTCTCGCTTCTGCTCATTATTAGCGCAGCCACTGCTACAAGACCTGGAGCCATCGTCCAATTGCAGTTCAAGGACATCGAGCTCTTGAAGGTTCGCTGTGTCGAAGATCCTAGCCGGAGCACTCTTGTGGCCAACGTGAATTTAGAGCATGTCAAGAACAAGGATAAGGAGGGAACACCGTGCGTTATGCTCTTAAGGCACCTGCTTTCTTGTCACTGACCAACTCCTATAGGAAGAAGTTCACGTTTCGTTTGGAGGGGCTCCCAGCCTTCTGTGTCGTTTCGCATATCCTTGGGATCGGGGATGGCCGGAATGCATTCAAGGACGGCTTCACAAGCATCCAACAGATATTTGACCTCGTGATACCAGAGGAACGTAACGCCCTGCGTATAAGATGGAAGCATGATATGCTTAAGAAACCATTCTTCTGCGACGTCGAGCACACAGCCGAGGGCGCTCATATACTTGAGGACAAAAGCTTTCCCTATGCGAAATACCGCGACTTATTCGTACGCTTGGGACGTGTTGCGGGCTTTGAACAATCGCTCGAGCTGTACCAGCTGCGGCGAGCCTCTGGAAAGAATATCAACGGTACGTCCTATTGACGCGCATCCCTTTTGGGCAAGACTAATGGAGCCTATCAGAAGCTTTCACAGAATCGGAACGAAACCAGACCATGGGCCATCTCGGCAGCACATACGAGAAGTATTATACGCCAACCCATATCGCACGCGACTTTCAAGCGGTCTATTTCGGAACCCCCACAGAAGACCTCCTCATCCAGTCCGTCGCGAGAATGGGCTTGACGCGAGATCAACGAGCGCCTGTGGAGCTTGACGAGAATCAAAAGGAGGAGGTGCGGAACAACCCCAAGCTTGTAGCCCTTCGAGAACAGCGAGATAACTATAAGAACGAACTTTACGAGAAAGGGTTCTACCCTCTTAGTAAGGGCAAAACAACTAGTATCTACAAGAAGTATCAGGAGACAGTTCGGAAGTTGAACAGCACCAACCAGGGTCTTTGCCGGAAACGACTAGAAAAGGCGATCCGCGAATTTCACACCTCGATCGACTCGGTCGAGATAGCTAGGCAGCTTGATGGAAAGCCTACGACTGATCTCCTTACCAAACCAGCCGTCAGTTTCGAGCTTCGAGAGCGGGCGGTGATTGCACACATGCTCTTTAAGCCATTTGAAAACGAGAAGGCCCGCGTCAGATTTATTACCAACTTTGCTCGACTATGCAAGCGGCAGGAGATGCGTCGGCCTGTAACGCTGAAACGAAAGCGGGTAGAATTTGTGGTATCTGCAAGCGGCGAAGCGAATCCACAGAAATGTAGGGAGATTGGCCGCTTGAACAGAGGTCTACCATGTCAGAGCGGTGAGGTAACGCAAGAGCCTGACCTATCTGAGTGCGAAGAGGTTCAGGCTCGACAACTCTACCCTATGGTATCCCCATACCCGATATGCCTCTTCTGTATAGGCAACGAGCGACTTTCCTACGAACAACGAACAAAGCCCTGGCCGCGAAAAGATGTGCTTAACAAACACGTGGACACCCACTTTCGAAATCCTGAATTCCAGGGAGAGTTCACATGTCGCCATCCCAGTTGTTCCTGCAAGCTGAATGGCAAGATGCATTTCAAGAGGCATTCATTAGAGGTACACCAAGTATCTCATTAAGGCGCGCAGAGGCTAGCTACGTAGATCAGAGAATGAGATTGTATAATTCAGTTCAAGAGGCATGCGCTTATCGAGTACACCGCGAAGTAGTGATATGTACGGAAGCTCGACAAAGCAGCTACTAACCGATGGTCTTTCATAGGGCAAGTTTAGATCACAGGGGGTTGCATGGTTTCTGACATCATGAGGAGAAGCAGGGGCTAGATTTTTCATGAAATTTCTACATGGAAGTCTCAAGGATGACCATCCTACGAAAACCCTGGAATTCTTCCTAAAGAGTCTATTGAGGCTAGTATTGTCCTGCAAGAGTTGGGTTTTCCAGGATTTATTACAAAAATGGTTGACTGAGCCTCGAAGACTGAATTTTCGCCGCAATGTTCGTTCATTGTATAATTGTTCGACGATCGAAGATACGTGGTCCTCGACGGTGGACCGCTGAAAGAGGTGCAGGTCCAGCTCAGAACGTTTATTCTAGCAGGACGTTTATGCTAGCAGGACGTTTATGCTAGCAGGACGTTTATTCTAGCAAAACGTTTATTTAAGCAGGACGTTTATTGTAGCAGGGCATTTATTTTAATAGTACGTTTATTCTAGCAGGTTGTTTATTTTAGCAGGTTGTTTATTTTAGCAGGTTGTTTATTTTAGCAGGTTG